AAATTGTTTCATATACTACTTAATGAAATTTTAATGAAACTGTTTCATATATTTCTCTAAAATTAAAATAATGAAGATGATAATATCCATGATTAACACCCTCCACAATAAAAATGGTTAATCAACCTCTCATAATTACAAAAAATGAACAAAATGAAAAATTATGATTGGTTGAATAAGGTTTTCACGGTTTTTACAAATTAAGTGGTTTTTATTTGAACCCACCCCTGTATGTATATATGTATGTATGTATATGGAGAGGTTAATTTGAGAAGTGCTAAATGTAGGATCATTCGGTCACATGATATGTGGAAATAGAGGGGTAGTTTAGTAACATTTACAAATAGGCAGCAAACAAATGCATATATAAACTCGTGTGATTCACATATGAACTAAATACGCATATGTGAACCTGTGTGATTCATATATGAACTATTTAACCAATTCATATATAAAGTCGTATGATTCACATATGAACTAATTAACTGATTTAAATATCAACTATTTAAGAGATATTAATGGAAAATACAAAAGAAATAATTAGAAGGGAAAAAAATGAAAATCTAGAGTAGTTTTACAAAACCTTTAATAAGCTAGAAAATTAAGATGGCTTATAATTGCCATAAATACGGCCATAGACCCATGATTTCCCAAAAAAAAACCTTAATTTTTAGATCGCTTTTGTGTCTTAAGAAGTGTTAAAGTCTAAAGTTTGATTTTATTTCTGATTTATAAGAGGTGGTGCTGAAGTTTGAAATCTGAATCAGTTAGTCTGTTTATTTTTACGTCTCAAGTCTAAAATCTGATTCGATCAGACTGTTTGTTTTTGCATCTGAAATCTGAATCAATAAAACTGTTCCAATAAATGAAAGCGTGCTTCAAGGACATCATAAGAACGTTTAATAACATTTCTAAGCTTTGCATGGAAATGATTAAACTTTTCATATTTGTTCATTGCTCGTCGACCACGAAAATCTTTGAGCCAATATCTAACATCACGATACAATGTCATAAATCCTCGAGTATTTGTATCCGCAGCATCACATAGATGATATTTATTTGAAAACAATAAATTAAATAGATATTTAATATGAATATAGTAAATATATTACCTCTAAAGTCATTACTATACCTGAAGAAGGAAATGAAAATCCAATAACACCATATGTTAAAGTTTCAGACAGAACTCTAGAATCGTGTGTAATTCCTTCCCATCTGGCGACAATAAATGTAAAAACCATGTTGAAATCACAAATTGTCAAAACATTTTGATAATATTCGTCCTTTTCTTGTTCTCTATATAAATGTTGTTCTTAAATAGGGACAAAAGCATGTATTAAAGTTCCATCAAGGGCGCCAATTACTCCTTACATTAAAGCTAGCAGTCAAAATAAATTTAATAAAGAAAGTTATACAACTATTATCGAATTATTATTTACCTCAAATATTCGTCGTAACCTCCTATTATTCCAGGGATGTATGGATTATGATTCAATGATGTAGGAATTATGATCTCTTTAGCAAACTCAATTATTTTATCCAACACTTCATGAAATTTCTTATGAATTGTTTGTGTTGAGTCTTGAAACCTGTTTTTCAACACTCTATAACGTTGATTGTGACTTATAATCATCAGAAATATAGCTATATTTTCTTCGACCAATATATGTTTGCCATCTATTAATCAACCTTTTGCTTTAAAGTGATCATATAGTCGAAAAAAAGATTTACGGACATTCACAACAACTAACATTGCCAATCATTATCTTAAAGTAGCTCATCCATAAATTGACATCCAATCATTGTAGACGTATTATCTCTTTTCCTTTTCAAATGTCTTTGTCGTAAGTGAACGTATACAAGAATATGACAATGAGAAGTATGATTTTTTATTATTATCCATGATTATTTGATTATTATCCATGATACACTTGTTAAAAGCACAAATAAAATTATAAATAAAAACTTGTTCAAATACAAAAACTACATAACAAAATACTCAAATATCAAACACATAAGCAAATAACATGTTCAAATATAAAACACGTAACCAATTAACTTGTTCAAATTCCAAAATCTACTCCATAAGTCCCAATCTTCTTGCCGTCCTTGAAATCTATGATGTTAAAATATTTGCGTCTGAAGGGATCGTCAACCATGTCTCTCTTAATAATGTTGACTAACCAAAAATGTCAATTGCTGCATTATAAATAAGACTCCTTGTATCAAGGCCAAGAGTGTTCAACCGTTCAATACAGACATTTAGGTTTGAGGTTTGTTGTGCAACAAGTATCCAAAGTTCACCCTCATTTCAAAAGCCAATTCATTTATATCGACCTTGGTTCTACTCTTCTTATTCAATCTAGACATAGTTGTGCTCGATTTATCGACAGTTGGTCCTTCCCCCTCATCTCCATCCTCCTCATTTTGGGTAGTATGGATATGAGACGTAAATGATGATGATGATGAAACCGTTGTCCTCTCACGGGTTGCACTAGGGGCATAAACATGAGATCCAGTAGTAGAAGTCCCCTCATACAAAGCTATAAATAATTCAGGAAATGCCAATGGTGATGTTTTTAAAGTTTTGGCCTTTGGATGTCACTGCATCCAAATTAAAGATATTTATTTATATAATACCTACACTATTGTCTTTACTATCTAAAAATGCAAAAGGGAATATAGAAACTAACTTTTGAAAAAAATCTTTCCATTCTTTGATTAGATAAGATGAACATATTCGTTACCAGGTCATAAATATTCCCTGTTTTATTTCTTAAGTATTTTCCTTTTAATTAACCGTACTAATTTTTCAATTGTTTTTGGGTTAGCTTCACACGGCACACTTCCTCAAGTTTTGTTGTCAACTTTGCCCAAGTTCCTTTTCGAAAGCTACCCACTTTATTGACCTCTTCTATACAAGTCTCTAAAAAGCATTTGATAATTTCATTTGATCACCTTACATATACATTCTCGTCCATCACTAATTAACAGGCAAGAAAGAATCAGAGTGTTTCAAAATGAAAAATGACAAAGAAGCATATGGAAATTAAAGCAATGAAGCCCATACTCCCTCTGTTTCAAAACAGAGAATCCCATTTGCAAGATGCACGGCACGAAGCTATCAAAACAACTCAACAATACCATATATTGATAATTTATATTTTGTGTATGAGAATTTAACTCATGCTTCCTGTTGTGGGTTCTCATTACCTTTCTTGAGATATCGAGAGGCAGAAGAAGAGATTGACAGCTGCTTGGATCGAGAGGCAGGAGAAGAGATCGAGAGCTTGAGCTTGAGGTGTTTAGGATCGAGATGATGGAGATTGAAATCGAGAGTTAAGAGCGAGATCTGGAGGAGGCGTCTGAAATTGATTTCAAAGTTAGGTTTCTCACTTAAAATTCAGATGACGGTAAGAGGTCTTTAAGCTCTTAATTTGAAAAAAAAAAACGGTCTGAAATGGTATATGTCTAACCGAATCAAACTTCAGATGTTATTAAGAGGAGAATGTCGAAAAACAAACAGGCCCTTAATTTGACTCCAATCTCCTACTCGATTTCACAAATTAATTACTTGATTGTTTACCCAAACATTTACCTGGTAACTGTTTATCGATAAAATTCAATATTATCACTTATTTTAACAGGTAAGATCTTAGTCCATCAAAACGGTACCGTATGCAACAATTTATCCGGTAAACGCTAATCAGATAATAGTAATGGTAATGGCAATGCTGATGGCAACAATGGCTGTGGGATTGAATGTAATGAAGTAAATACAAGGGTATAATAGTTCTTAAAAGATGAAGGATATGTGGAATTCATCTCCTTACAAAAACTCAAAGAATGAACCAAACACATAAATACAATCCATTAACCATTCCAATTCCTTCAAATTTTCCATCGGATTCCAACGCCACCTTACCTGAAAGCAACTACGAGAGTTAAAAGTCGGAATCCAGAAATGTTGTTTGCTTGCATTCAAGATCCAATGAGCCCTTTTAAACGAGCATACGAAACAACGAGAAGGAAAATGACTGCAGAAAATCCGCCCGACAGAATCACCACCTGCCAACATCCATCAAAACAAATGTCGATCAATTTGGTAAACCTTCGTTCAAATATAACCGTTGATTAAAAAAAGAAAACAATACCTACCCATTTGAACATGTAGCCATGATCATCATTCCAGGTATAAGGTATATTCATGCCAAATATACCAGTTATCAAAGAATAGATTGCCATACATACAGTTCCTGCACTTAGAAACAGCTCCAGCTACAGTCATGAATACAAAACAACATGAGTTCATCATCCTCAAATAGCTATAACAACCCAACCTATTATTATTACTCTTCAATATGTACCTGAATTAGCTGATTTCTATGATTGTCAAGCTGCAGTAACAACAATGATTAGCTACTGGCTTTAGATTCACAATTTGTACATAATCAAAGATGTGAAATTAAACTCATAAGTATACCTGGATGTTGATGTAATCTTCTGTATCATCAATATATTCACGCAGCTGCACAATATAACAGACATATAAACTTATTACAACACCTTTAGATACGATATTTTATTGTTTGACACTATAAGACATTTTTGGCAATAAACCCAATTTTGGTATAGTGATCGCATTATACTTCGCTGCTATTACCACATTTGTTCACTGTCTTCGGCTTCCCTACCCCTTGGGTATCCCTACACCCTACTTCTGTGTGGGATATGCTAGGTTCCTTTGGTTTGTATTTTAGGAGTCTCGTGAACCAAAATCAGTCAATACCACCTTCGCTTCATAATGGCTACTGATGGGCAAAATGGTAATTTTGGATTAAAATCTTGCCAATGGGGAAAACGTTATGTTTAAATTACCAGAAAAGGAAGGTGATGCAAGTATTAGTATTATCTTGTCTACGCATGTATTTTGTATGATTGCCTAACTATTCAGCTCTTTGCACATTCAATATCATAAGTGGTGCTAACTAGGGGTGTAAACAAGTAGAGCTTTTGACGAACTCGCTTGTCTTGGCCTCGAGCTTAATCATTCTAGAGCTCAAGTCGATCTCGAACACAAAATAAAACTCGTTTAACTTAAAGAGCCGAGCTTCATAACACCAATGTTCAACTCGGCTCGTTTTTGAGTCGCACTTTTCCTAGCCAAACATGCTTATGTGTTAATAAATCATACAATAAAAATATAAAAAATAATCAACCTCAAGCCAATAAACGAGTTAATGGATTGAAAACTCGAGCCCATAAACGAGCATCAAGCTCAATAACTCAAAAAATATTCGAGCTCGAGCCCTACTTTGAAAAAGTTATTCAAGCTTGAGCCTGGTATTATTTTCCAAGCCGATCTCGAATAGCCTACTACTCGACTAGGCTCGTTTACATCCCTAGTGCTAAAAATGTAACCAAAAGAGGATAAGAACGTTTTAAAATTACGGAATTAATAGATATCACTCACACTGGTTAACTTGTGTAACGTTCCATCAATCTGCATGAAGTAGGCCTGAAACACATACAAAAAATCTATTAAGCGTCGAGTATTTTTCAATCATTCAAGAACAAATCACAATAAAAGACGCAAAATCAGTATGAAGGTTATAAGTGAACCTCTAGAAGCATCTCAAGCTCCTCAACGTCGTTTTCATCTCCATGAACCATCATCACACTTGCCCTGCTAGCTCTAGATATCTTTGAACCAATAGTAGGTGAGCCAAGAAACCAACTAGCAGCACCTGAGTCACTTACTGGTGAAGCCGACGATAGCTTTCTTGATAAGTATAGATCCGCCATATCATCATCATCGTCCAAAAGTCGTTCAAGTTCATCCCTAACCTGCGATAAGCCATAATCAGTGAGCCAAAAGTTCAAAACATCACGTCGATATTAGTTCGAATATTGTGTACCTAAATGAACATAATTATACTTGCAATGACTTATATGGAGTAAATCAGTACTCCAGCCTATAAGTTTCCCCCAAAATAATGTTGCAATTCTTAGTGTGGCGTTTGATTTGATGGAATGGTTTTGAGGGATATGGAAGGATTTAGAATCTTTGGTGTGTTTCGTTTGAATGATTTGGAAGGGATTTGAGTTCCATTTTTTATAAATAATTTGTAAAACAAAATTACCTTTTTATTAATTGATTATTACAAAACAAGTGCTTGTAACATATTTAAAACATTATTACATTATGAAATACAAACTATGCCCACGGGATTTCTAAATCCCAATGTTTGTGGGATTTCAAATCCAAGCATTCCTTCAAACCAAAAAACATAGGATTGGAATAGAATCCAATTCCAAATCCATCCAAATTCTATCAAATCCCACAAACCAAACGGGACCTTAGTGAATTATAAAGGAAAAATGTCGCAACACCATAAAAGGAGTGCAATATTATGGTCAGCGAATGTATTATGGCTAATACTTTCTGTGAGAATATGTGGAACCACATTAGATTACTGTACATAATAGCCTTTCAGGAGATTAGGAAGAAATGGTCCACGTCTAGTAGCCAATATGGGATTCCAATACGCCCCATCCAACAGAGGTTGGATGGACAGAGAAGAGCGTCGAGTCCCTCAGATACCATGTGAGAATATGTGGATTTCTTTCCAAAATAGCGCTCAAGGAGAGAAGAGAATTCCAACATATATTGGGGAGAAATGGTTTCTAACCGATGTGGGATTCCAACACTTTCCATATACCCTTCCTTCTGTTTTAGATAGGATTAAGAACATGCAGCTAAAAGCAAATTGAAGACAATTTAGTACGTAAAGCCCCCATGTATCAAAGACAACAGGTTATCGAGTCTCATTGTCATGTAGATCTCCCTAAAGTAACTCAAATCTTAAATGGAAGTTATAGGTTTCCTAATGCGATAATCATGGAAACAGTTGTACATATGGCAAACAAGCATTATGTATACCTTTTGAACACGAGCAGTCAACCTTGTCATTGAGCTTTTCAATTTACGAACGCGATCCAAGTTACGGCTACTAATCTGCCAATCAGAGTCATGGTACCAAGCTGACACACTTTGTATGTTTGCATATCATTCATCCTGCACTAGCAATTTAGCACAATTTTTTCTTCCTCACCAAGTATATCCCACTCCAAAGTAGGGATTGGGGGTAGGATCTAGGATGTACATAGACCTTTTCTCCACCACAAGAGGTAGAGCGACTGTTTCCCTTTGCGAAAATGTTTTGAAGATTTTGTCAAAAAGTTTTTATAGGAAAGTTGCCAAGATTTTGAGAAGACACCGGAGAGCATGAGATGGAAAGGGGGACTGCTATAGAGTTTCATGTGCATCTTGGATACCTACCTTTTTCCGACTCTAGCTTCTGGTGCTAAAACTCGTATGGCAAATTAAACCTGACCACTTAAGATAATTCAGCCTAGTCCAAATCATTTTCGTGATTGCATACTCTTCTGTGAGGATCCAAATATGGGAAAGAAAGGTCATGTTTTTCAGTCCAAACTGAAATTGAGGTGTGGCCTGCATTTGGTACGTGGGACAGGACAGAACAAGAACTTGTTGGCGGGACATTAATAACTGGACTGATTGGACAAAGAAAGCACGACTCCCACAAAAACCAAAATTAAGTAGATGGGTCAGATAAGATTGATAAATTACTAAATCACCCGTGCCAAATACAATTCTTCCCCATCCTACCCATTCTAGTCCAGTCATGTCCTGGTACCAAACGCACATGGTGCATCAATATTATCAACTGTCTTTCTAATTGAAAAGGGGAAACTAGATCTAAACATAATCTGAAAGAAAGGACACAAACTGCAGAATCACTTGGTTGGCTGCTTTTGTCATTTGATGCTATCAACCGACCTACAAGGGTAGAGGAAAGGTCTATCTACATCCTACCCCAACACCCTACTTTCAAGTGGGATATACTGGGCATGTTTGGATTGGTTTGCTTCAGTTCACCAACCTACTAACAACCTTCAAAAAAAAATTAAAAGCAAGTAGTGAAAGGTGAAAGCACTACAAGACTTCCCTATAAAATGCACAGAGCTAATATTATGAAAATTTATCATTTAATAGTTCCCAAGAAAGGCACATACCTTAGACGTAAGCTCATCTAAGGCTGGGTAAGCATCGGTTTCCAGTTCAGTAGCACGGGCAGCATGAAAGCTGCAGATGGCCTCTAAGAAAACCTCAAGTGCTCGGAATTCAAACGGTGATTCTGCATGCATTATTCAAGCAAAAAATGCATTTCAAAACCCTTAAAATGGAAAACATGATAAAGACGGGAATTTCTGACATAAGCAGCAGAAAGAGACTGAGAGCTCCCTCTTCATAGTCATATTATACTACAAACAGAAAGAAAGGTGAAACCATTCATAATCATACCATCTTCTTCATCGGCTTCAACATCATGCTGCCCATCCAATTCTCCATGATTGGCCTTTGCAACAGGCAATCTCCTCCGTAGCTCCTCAACAACTGGTATTACATTATCATCTGAAGGATCTCGAAGTAACACCTACCCCAAGTTCCCATTTTCATGTTAGAAACAGCGGCTATTATCAAAATTACCTAAAGTAGCACATGCTGTTAAGACAAGTTTCATCCAGAAAAAACCAAACCAAACAAGCCCAGTATCTCCCACCTGGAGGCGGGATTGGGTAGTAAGATTGTTTCTACGAAGACACCCAACTAAGTGAAAGGTGTGTAAAACTGAGAAGTGAGAAACACATAAATGCTAGTGTTTGAAAAGCCAGATATGAGTAAGCAATAGCAATACAAATAAAAAGACAGAAAGGTAGATATGCTAAATTTTAAGAAACTAAATATGAGTAAGCAACAGCAATACAGATAGAAGCAAGTACATGAAAAACGTAACCGATGTGTGGAAACTACATACCCCTATTCTAACATCAGGATTCTGGACAGAGTAGAACAAATTAGTTTATTCAAATGCCATATAATAGTATGGCATATTGAAGACTTAGAAAAGGTTAAGATGTCAAGGTCACAAAAGGATAGTGGATATAAAGTGCCTCAGGCTTAAAATAATTCTATAGATGTCAGTTAGACCAGTTGGTAAAGTGTGTAAGCACTTGTAATGTATCCAGTGAGAACTACTTTTAAGCATCTTCCCTGTGAGTTAAGGCTTCAATTAAACTGTTGTTTTGATTGAGTCAAGGCTTCAATGGATACATGCAAATCTAATACAAGCAATTAAAACAACAGTAATCAATAATGGACATATCTCATTCTCGCAAGTCTAGAAAAATCCATTTGTAATTAAACACCTTGATATCAGATATATCAAGGATTGCCTTAAGATCGGCTATGAATGGTTTATAGAATCTTGCTCACTTCCAGATCATGGAACTCCAAGTTTCCAAAACCATTGACTGAATCAATAGCACGATTCTTGAGTCAAAGATTCCTTATACATAACATAGCCTTAACTAAACTAAACCAAACAAAACAAACCCAATATATCTCACTCAAAAGAAGCGTCTGAGAGGGGTGAAATGTACGCAGTCTTGAGCCAACAGTGGTGGCGGATGTGGTGGAGGTTGTTGTAGGGATTAGTGAAGGAGAAGGTAGAGGTGGCCAACTATGGTCGGTGGTGGCTGCCGATGGTGGTGGCAGCGGTGATGGATGGTGATGGCCATTAAAACAAATACCATATCAAGCTTATATAAAATAAAGTAGATTAGTAACTTTTTAGTTTATGTTCCATCTTGTTCCACCTATTTTGGTGGAACAAAAAGAAAACTTTTTTGTCCAACTCAGCCCATCCTTGTCCCTGACACGTGTCTCCCCAAAAGTGTAACAATGAGAATTCTCTTGTCCCATGTCTCATCAAACGTGGAAAGTTGAGTTTTGTCATGTCTTATCTAGTACCAGTTGCATATACCAAAGGCAACCTTATATACATTGGCTAGGGCCACCAATATACACAAGATGTTAAAGTCACTTACTCTAAGACGATTTAAAGTTAAGAGAAGGGTTTAAGAGATCATTAAAAGAAAGGTTAAAAAGGAGGGAAAAAAATGCTAACCTCTTCAGCAGTGATAATAACCTTGATATGCTGCCATATCCCCCAGACCGCCGGTACATCACCAGAAACAATAATTAGTAATAAACACAACAGAACTTTCAACCATAATTTAAACAGAAAACGTGACTTTGATGAAATTTTGATAATGTATTGATCTTTTTTTTTTTATTAACCTAATATCCAATCCGCTAGATCATAAAGAGGATTTTTATTTCTCTTTGGATTTGAACCGGACCTCCTAGTAATTTTGACCTTTGGAGTCAAGCTCAAACTGTATCGATCTTTATAACAAAGATATACATAACAAAAATGTGTTCTCTTTTGTTATAGTGTTTCTAGGATCAATGAACATCAAAATTGGTACATATCGAGTAGAAACTAGAAGTGAAATTAGAAAACAAGAAAAATCAAAATTGGTTATGATGAACTCACTTCCAAGTTAAGAACGATTGCCCTTTCACGGCCTAAAACTGTAGAAGGGTAGGATAAAAGAGGATCAAGAATCCGAAGATCACGAGCATGAATCTGAACTCGGTGCATGATGGCATACTTATCAATATCCATAATCGTCTCATTCACGTTAGTATCGATCAATATCCAACTCCTCGCACTCGTCGTTCCCTTCTTCGTCACCAACATACCAACGCCTCCGTCCCCGGACGTCGTCTCCGCCTCCGGCTGCACCGCTGAAACCATCTCCTCCCCAAAATCAAGCACTAATCTGTAACAAATTTTCGAAACAGTATGACTGTATGTGTGTTTGCACTTTGCATGAACCACTCATCAAACCACCGTGCCTTAAGAGTTAAAATAGTATGCAAACAAACAAAACCCTAGAGTATCTACAAGAGTAACTGCATTAAAATAGTTTTGGAAATCTTTTACCAATTTTTTTTAAATACATAAAATTATAGAAAATCCTTAAACTTAGATAAGTCTTTGTAACTATATTTTGACTGACTAGAAGGATATTCACACAATATAATAAAATACATCTTTATTTTAATGTCTCGTTTTATTTTTTGTCACTGTACCGTTGATATAATACAGTTTATATGGTTTTGAAAAAAACAATATTTTTACTTTTGAATAAAATAAATTTAAAGATATCATAAAAAATTAAAAAAATATATCGATATTAATGTCAAATTAACTGTTTAAAAGCTCTCTTTTATGTACAATTTCTTTAATACAATTTTTTATTATAATTTAATTTAGGTCTAATAACAAAGTAATTTATTTTTGACTTAATAATATAATTTTTATACAGATAATGATTATCCTAATTATATTTTAGATTTTTATATTTAAAATGAGATGTTTGTCTTATATTTGATTATATTTATCTGCAGTTAGTTATACGAATTTAAAAATAGAGTTGGATGTACTTGTTTTTAAATATTGACTTTTGATATTTTAGTTTTGAAAAATTATAAGAGTATCTTCAACAATTATGCTATATTCTTCTATAATAGAATATCAAAATCTCTAAAACTATTATATCTAATTCAACACTTACTCTATTTTAGCAATTCTAACATCAATTATAATATAAAATACTCAATACATTTAATACGTTATTTTTTGTTTCTCCTAACACCATCTCCAATCCAACCACCAAAAATAAAATACAAAATTACTAAAAATAGTGGGTTCATTCAACACTAAAAAAACCAACTTTAACTATACACTAAAAAAGTATAAAAGAAGTCTTTAATATTATTATAATAGTAATAAAATAATATATCTATTTATCATTATTCTATTCTATTAAAAAGTAAATTACGAATTTGGTCCCTAAGATATGTTAATTTTTATGCATTTGGTTTTTTATCTGGTTTATTATAAAAGAAACCCCCATGTATGCAAAAAAAATTTAATAGATTTGGTCCATGAGGCAAATGACCGTTAATTGTCTTTGTTAAGTATGAGGGCAAATTGGTCTTTTCCATTCATCAATACCTTTATAATGAACTTACTCATTCTGAATGATTAAGTCTCTAAACTTTTCTTAATTAAATAGATCAGGTGCGCTACCGAGAGTTGCTTTTGGAAGTTGTCCACAAGTCCAAGTACTCTACCAACCGGGGAAGTACCAAAATGTATAGAGACTTGAAGTTGAATTATTGGTGGCCCGTCAAGAATTTAGATGTGGCTAACCATGTAGAGTAGTACATGGCGTGTTTGCAAGTGAAGGATGAACACCAACGACCATACGAGAGTCTTCAATTCTTGGAGATCCAAGGATGGAAGGAGTAAAACATGGACTTCGTGACCAAGTTGCCTAAGACTTTGAAAGATCACGAGACTATGTGGGTGGTGGTCGACTGTCAGACCAAGAGTGCTCACGTCCTAATCATGCGAGAGAGGTTACCGATGGACAAGTTGGCCAAGTTATACATCGATGAGGTTTTCTCTAGGTACAGGGTGCCATTGTCAATCCTATCCGATAGAGATAGTCAATTCACTTCAAACTTTTGGAACGACCTACAAAAAGAGTTAGGTAAGAGGGTGAAGTTAACCACTGCTTATCATCCTTAAATCGACGGTCAAAGTGAGATGACCATTCAAACCCTTAAAGATATGCTTAGATTGTGCTTCATCGATGTCAACGGAAGTTGGGATTCTCACTTACCATTAGTGGAGTTTGCCCACATAATAGCTACCATTCTAGTATCGGGATGGCTCCCTTTGAGGTTTTGCATGGTCGTAAGTGTAGGACTCCCATGTGTTGACTAGAAGTGGGTGAGAAACAATTTTCCGGGTCCCAAACAAAAGCCGGTTGGATAACCATTCTAAAAAAATAGGCAAGATCGGGCTGGACTGCGAAAGTTAACTGTAGAAACATAATCAATAGAGGATAATGATCTCATTTTAAATATAAAAAATCTAAAATATAATTAAGATAATTATTGAGTTTTAATAAAATACTTAATTATTATTTTTATAAAAATAATATTATTA